GATTTGATGCGTGAACTATATTTATTTTTTCCCTTGAAATAAATGCGGATAGGATCAATAATAACAGAGTAAATAGTACGAAGTCATGAAAAAATGAATGAAAAGTTGTGTTTCACAAATCTAATCCATGGGAATGATTTGCACGAACTCTGACTTGCTTTTCTAATTAATGTTACTGTAAATATATACTAGTATTTCCAAACAAAAATAAATGATCCATAAACCAATAAGTTAAAAGAATGAAACTCGTAGTCCATGCAACAAGCACTAAAGGGTAAACCTCAAATAAACATTTTTGGTAGTGCCCACGATTGTGTTAGTGCCGGATTTTCAGAAAATTCAATTACCAAAAGGAAACTGAGGTGTTACAAAACCATAAGGGCCCTTTGGTTCAAGGTGTCTATCGAAGAAGAAAGAACTGATAGGGAAAAAAAAACCCCTCTGTATTTCTAAATATTTATTTGCTTTCTGTGTTCTGAAATTAAAAGATTTTGCCAAATTATAAAATTTTGAAAAACCCTAGATTTAAGTTTCTTCATTTATTTTTTTTTTTGTTTTTGTTTTTCGGTGTCTTTTCCCTGGGAAAATTTTTATTGCGTGAAATAGGATTGGACGAAAATGAAAAGTAGATAATTCTTTTAATATTAATTTGTCCAGAAAACTAAAATTTTCATATCACATGAACATTTTACTTAAACACTCAACTTGTGAAAGTTAGCCAACATGGCAACATGTAGGAAGGTTTCTCTTTCAATTAAATGAAAATTTACATTGTAAGCTCAAAAGGGTTTGACTTTATTTACAAAATGTTTGCAGATGGAAGTCTCTTTAAATAAAAAACAACGAATATAACCCTTGTTTCTATTACACAAAATCGGGATGTTACAAAAATGTAATCTTTTAACCTCCTTGGATAAATAGGGAGGTTAGAATGATAAGTAATGATTTGCGTATTGATTTAACTCAATACTATTTCAACGAGATCATTAATTAGTTTGATTGCAAATTTTTCCTTCTTAGGTTGGACAAACTCAGACATTTAACCTACCTCATTTAATAATTATTGTTATAAATATTATGATGATTCTTGTGGATGGAGGTTATCTTGAATTTTGATTTAATTGATATGTAAGAGCAATTATTTGAAAATAAATCCTACATATTTATTAATTATTTTAGAGCTTCCAAGTTCCAATCATTCACCTGAAAGATTGATATGTATCAATGAATATTTATGATGAAACGTCGAATCTGCACCATCCCTATCATAACAAAATCATAAAATCTCGACAAACAAACAACAAGGGGCCAAATCCTATCTTTTCCCACATATTATTCCACATCACTATAATTAATTATTTCCTACAATTATTTCTAAAATATGAAAATTAAACTATAATGGGCTCCGCACATTAAAAAAATTGAAAACACTTGGACGGTTTAAATCTCAAGTTTTTGCACCAAAACACCTCAGTTTGCATGTGCCATTCAATATTTAGAGTTAGGTTCAACTATATATGTAAATCAATAATCATTTTTCTCTTTTTTATCTTCCTTAGTAAAAAACTGAGATATCATTAAATTCATTTCATAATATCATTTGTTTTGTTTTGTCTTTTATTTTATTTTATTTTTTGCTTTCCTTAAATAGACCAAACATGTACGTTTTATGACATACTCCCTCCGTCCCATAATTATTGTCCAGTTTTACTAAAATGAAAAATTTTATTTTTAGTCAAACTTAATTATATTTTACTTTGAACAACCGGATATACTCCTACATAAGTAATTGTTTAACCACGAAGATTTTATGGATAATATTTTTTACTAAGGACAAATGTGTAACTTGATCCATAAAAAGTCAAATTGGACAATACTTTTGGGACAAAATTTTTTAGGCAAAGTGGACAATAATTATGGGACGGAGGGAGTATTTGCTTTATTTCCTATTTTCCTTGTAACGTGAAAATCTATTAAGGATGGATAATGGAGAAATTATAGAGGAAAATAAATTAACCTAGATAGGTACAAGATGACGCATTCGAGTACGAATTTGGGTACACGAATGTTTGCTTATTGGTGAGTACAAGAGGAATGCATACTATTTGAAGTCATATATGTTGTAGTATTTAACTTCATTTAGATATGAAATTATTATATATCTTAAATGATTAACCACACTGTAGTATAATCTTTTCTTTGTTCTATTTATCACTAGTGATGTCTGGTCGCACAATGCGCGACCCTGGCCCAATCTATCTGTACATCTTAGAAATATTTATATTTGAAAAAAAATAAAATTTTGTATTTGTAGCGATATATTTTAGAAATGTTTGAAGGAATTAGAAATGTTTTATACGTGTGATCATAGAAATATTTGTATTTCACACAAAAAAAAGAGTATTTCACCATGTATGTTTTAGAAATGTTTTATAAGTGTTACTTATTAAATATAAATAGCCTTAATCGAATAAATGTGTTGAAGTAAATGTTAAATAAAATATAAAAGCATCCTAATAAATTTAAATATTAGTAAGATGATTTATTGATGTTCTCCATTGGTCGTACCAAATCAATACTTAGTTTTGGAGATTTTTAATAGTTTTGTAATAAGATTCATCCGAAGGGTATACGCTTAAAACAAAGTTGACACTTTGTAATAAATACCTAATTGATCAATTCAATTTAAAAAACCACTCTAGTTGAATGAAACATAAAGAAAAAATAAAATTAAAAAAAACGTGTCACGTAAAGTGCAAAGGAAAATTTAGTAATTTAGTTATGATTAGACAAAAGGGCAATTTAGTACTTTCTATATGTCACGTGGCAATCATATGAGATGTTTGAAAGGGAGGTTTTTGTTTCTAATATAGTAGGATGTATAATTAAACGAAATTTTTTTTGGGCTAAACGGTGTTGATTATTATACCCTCAGTTATCCTCTCAACTTCATGATAAGAGTTTTTTGTTTGAACAAAACAATATAATCACAAAAAATCTGAAATTAGTTCAAGTCTTGGTTGAAAAAAAAAAATCTTTTATTATCCCCCTCATATGTAAATACGGACAGATAAACACTCGGCGCGAACAAAATACATTGTCATGTTACATTTATGTTAGTGGTAAAGACAAATGACATGAAGTGTAAATTACCTAAAATTGCTTTTTGTATGTTTTAAACAATATTATGCATGTTTTTTCGCACAAAAATAATCCACTACGCATAAATTTTTTTGAGTCTTGAATCATTTTTTTTCGCCTTTAGAATTTTTTCCCTGTCCTTTTTGCTTTGCGAAGTCTTTATTATTAATGGTAGGCGATAAGATTATAGTTCAAAGACGTAGATTTTTTTTCCGAGATTAAGAAATATATTACAGTATAAAAATTCTTTAATAAATAATTAATTGATAAATTAATTATTAATTTAAAGAATTTCCTTGAGGAAAAAGCTACCATCCAACACAAAAAAGTTTTCATATTAAAATCCATACATAATTCATATCATCTTCAAAAACTAACACTCAAGTATTAATATTTTAAATTTACTAAATATTTATCATTATCATTTTTTTGAATCAATGTAATTAATAACTTATAGTATTGTCAGGATCAATAATATATAAGGAATTTTTTTAAGTACTATTATTTATTAATTTATTGATTTTATTCACTTTATATACTAGTCCCAAGTTAGAAGTAGAGAAAATTATTAATTTAGCAACTTTCTATCATTCAAAATTTTCTTTTTGTCCCCTGGTTAAGACAAAGATGTAAATGGACACAAAATGATTGAAGTTGGTTCACCTTTTTTGATTTTCACCAGCGATATCTGTCAACATTAATCACGTTTCAATTTCTCATAAACACGAAATTCACAAGAGCGGTTGACTAATTTTATTTGTTTTTATTTACATTTCTTACAAGGATTGATTAGATGGAAAGATGTAATTGTGCACTGATACCTTATTTGCAGAAAAAATAAAAAAGAATCTAATCAAATTTCATAATCAGATCGATGGGGTTTGAAGTTTTTGATATTCTGTGAACAAATTAATCGAATGTTCACACTTTAATATGCACGATGGTCTAAAGAAGCCGCAATTTCAATAGTGAAACTCCATTATGAGTGAAGAAAGCAGAAGATAGTGAAATATATATATAAAAAAGAAGATTATTTTGACCTATAAAACAGGGATCTGATTACAGGTATACTACAGATTGGATGACCATATTTTGCTATAATAATGATGTTTTTGTCACTACTTAATCAGACTGATACTATAAAGCACCAACAGCTCTCCTGATAGGAATTCAGACATTTGCAAAACGACAATTTAGGTTAACGATTGTCGTCAGAATCAATTGTTAGAGAGTTTATCTTTAAACAAATTTCGAATTTAAATTAGATAAGTATATTGGTTTATAAATTTTTGACCACTCGATCATCTTGAAAAGTATCAAGTATATAGGTTGATTTGGGCCAAAAATAGCTATAATTTGCAAATAATAATATACTGCATGTCTAAAACTTAAGTCAAGATGACAGCAAGACTCAAAGCTTATTATGTGTTCCCACAAAGTATAACAACTAAGAAGAGGAAAGACTTCTGGACATTTTATTAAAGAAATAAATTATTTGTGGGTTTATTTGTTAAGGGAGAAGAAAGAAATCAGTTGGGATGAATTGGTTCTATTTTTATTGTGAAGAAAAATCTCTTGAGGCGGTATATGAGAGCTTTGAATAGGACTCAATCTTTCACCGGCTGGAGAAATGCCAATTGTACCGGTTATACGCCCCACTCCTCTTCTCAATTTTGTTGTTCAAGGCCAAATAGTTTTAGATGAACAGATCGAAATAGTGTTATCTGCACAAGTATTTCAGTTCTCGAAAATGTCTATTTCTACATTTTCCCATCAACAACACCAAATCTTGATACCAACTAAACGTTATTAGAATATACACCATGACAAATATTCACAAGTTCATCTTTAATTTCTTTTTACCAATCCTTGAGGAGCTCGTCAGCAACATCCTTATAACTTACTTTCTTTTTCTTTTCTGGCTTTGGAACGGTATCCAGAGCAGGTCTTTCAGCTACAAAAGCAGAATCCTTGTTAGTCACTTCTACAGGTAACTTTTCGGCCTCAGGACCCTGACTTGCACTGGCAAACCTACTGCTTCCCAAGCTCGGGATCATCTGCAGTAACATGGCTTGAACTGGACCAGCAGCACTCTGTACCCGTGTATTATGCTCTTCAGCTCCATTTTTGCTAACTGAACTGATTGTTGGAGCTTCATAGACTTGTTGGTGCTGCCAGGGATCTTGCTCAACTGTCTTACCCTTGTTTGATACCTCAAGATCTTTTGTACCAAAAATATCTAGTATTTCTGGATTCCGTTTGTCAGCCATCTCACAGTTTTCAACATTTCCAGGCTGGACCTCTGCTTCTTCGTGGGAAATCAAATGGTCTGGAGACAAGCTTCGACCTGATTCACTTTCCTGAATCTTTGCAGGTCTATTACCGATTCTTGCTCTTACTCTTCGTGGCTGGTTTCTCAGGGTTTTTTCTCTATTCCGTTTGCCAGTCATCTCATGACTTTCATCATTTCCAGCTTGGACCTCGGCTTTTTCTGGAGAACTCAAATGGTCTGGAGAGGAAGTTCCATCTGATTCACTCTCATGAATCTTTGCGGGCTTGTTTCCGAGTCTTGATCTTGTTCTTCGCGGCTGACTTTTCATAGTTTTCCCTTTATTTGCACCAATCCCGCTAGATTGCCCTCTCTTTGTTTTCTTCCCCTGCTTAGGCAAGGTGACAAGTATAGGTTTCTTTCTATCCCTTGAGCTTCCAACTTTACCTGATGATGATGTGCTCAACCCTTTCTCATCCACACTCGTGCTTCGATCTAGGTTTAATTCATCTTTGTCACTGCAAAAACAACAATATCATAAATTTTAAAGTATAAAGAGCAAAACTAGAAGACAATTTGCATAAAGGTGCCACGACTCAAGCTGACAAAAGAAAATCTGAACTATTCTGACTATTTTAGGCAATATTGGCCATAAAATGAAATGCAGCCCTCAAACTATAACTGCAGCCCTCAATATCTTAGGCCCACACTGGCAAAGCAGCCATCGTCAGTCTGTTATAGGGGGTTATAACGGCAGTGCCAAACTTACAGTGGCTGCACCTAACTGATAAATGATTGCACTCTTCGCCTATTCCAATTTCATCAGCTTAAAGCCAACAAATGGAGGTCATATTCTTACATCACAGCTGCGATGGATTGCATGCAGCTGAAATTGAAAACCACAATCTGCATATAACAGAACAATGAAAAACTGATGTATCAACCATGAAATGCAGCCCTCAAACTCCAAAGCTGACATTTGGTACCTTGACAATCCTTTGGAGAGGCGGTTTGATTCTATAAATCAGAAGTGGCAAGGAAAACACACTGGTGTTACAAGAATCAATTGTGAAAGTAGTAAATGGAACGGAAACAAATTGTCTCAATGAAACCATGTTTCACAGAGAGAAATATTAGTTTTAACTATTGAAATAAATCCCATAATAAAAGGATCCACCCCATTGTTATAAGATTACCAAAAAAACATAAGACTTTTTCACTGCCTCAAATGTCCAGATGTAATAGCTTTCCTCAACCCTGTTACATCAGGCTAAGCACAATGTTTTCAATAATGAATTCATTTGCCAAACAGATAACCATGTTATATAAGGCTGAGCTTATTACCAAAGGCATAGATAACAATCTTTCAGCCAACAATTCGCGATAATTTGTTGCATTCAGTTCTAAAAGAGAATTATAAGTCCTACTGAAAGTATTACATCAAAAATCATTTCTTTAGGACTATTTTCCTTAAGACTAAAATGTCCAAATGGTCCCTTACATTTGGGCTTACTTGATTTTACGTCCCTAACATTAACATTTCAATATCGTTGTCCCAAACATTATATTTTCACACTTTTTTGGTCCCATTTCACTGTTTCGGCCACTTTTCCGTCCAACTCGATGTTGACCGGTAGTTGACTTGCCGGAATCAGGGGTATTTTCTTCTTTTGACTTAATTTGAACTTTCATTGAAATTTAAATCACTAAGAATATCATAAAATTCACATTTAATTGCTAAAATATTATTCATTAATTTAAAATATTATTATAAAATTTAACACTTAACAACATTTTTAAAAAATTTTTTTTTTTCTATTTATCATTTATGCTGGATACAAAATAAATATTAATTACGTTCCATTTTTAACTCCATATAACTCAAAAATCTTACCGCGCTACAGTAACTAATTCAAAATTCAATTTTTTTTGTTTAAAAAAAAAAAAGCAAACTAAATTTTTTCCCGAATTTTCACCTACCAATTTTTGATTCGGTCGAAGTAAAAAATCCAGCGGGTTCACCTACCAATTTTAAATTAATAAGTAATAATATTTAAAAATAATAGTATTTTAAATTAATAAATAATATTTTAACAATTAAATAATAAATGTGAATTTATAATATTTTTAATGATTTAAATTTTAATAGAAATTTAAATTATATAAAAAGACGAAAATACCCTTGTTTCTGGTATGTCAACTGCCAGTCAACATCGAGTTGGACGGAAAAGTGGTCGAAACAGTGAAATGGGACTAAAAAAGTGTGAAAACATATTGTTTGATACTACGATATTGAAATGTTAATGTTAGGGACATAAAATCAAGTAAGCCCAAATGTAATGGACTATTTGGACATTTTAGTCTTTCCTTAAACTCATACTCATCCCTAAATTGCCAGTACTCCGGATCCTAGGGAGATTACAGTTCTAATACAATTGGAGAGATGTTTATCCAAAGAAGGATATCTCCACTATGACAGCTACAACATGACTCCAAAGAAAATTTATATCGAAATGAAAAGCAATTCTAGGATTACACAAGATCATATCCTAACACAAACATACAAAAAAATACGAAAAGCCCAACGAATGATCATATTATATTGCAAACTTGCTCCACAGATAAACTTTTTTGATAATTACAGTATTGCATTCTCAGGATCAAATAGATCCAAAAGTGAAAAATGTAATCTGGTTCTCCACATTTTCATTTTTATCACTTTGGAAACTAACTTTTTCTAGTTTCACATTTTTCCAAACATAATTACCTTTTCAAGTAATTACTAGCAGGGTAAGTCCTAGTAAGTGAAACCAAATAGATGTAACAGTAAGTACTTTGTGAAAAGTATATATCCATTGGTAACATGGACGTCCACCAGGAATGTACATTACACAGTTGTATTCATGCTTTAATAATAAAAATAATAATAACAATAATTGGATAGCTCAGCGAGAATCGAACCCCTCGACCTCCTAGTTTCAATCCCCCATCCTAACCCCTAACCATTCCAAGCAACCTCCCACCCCCATAGTTGTGTCCATGCTTTTGTACAATATAACGATTAAAACTTTGGATCTCAAATTTTTAAGCATCCAATGTGAATGGCAATAACGACAATGACAGTCAACTAGGAGAAATCAAATTCACAGAATGTAGTATATGCATCCACTTACTCTTCAAAAACTGAATTTTGTACATTCACGGGTTTCAGACTGTAGTACTCCTCCGGCACTTTTTGCTCTCTGTCAAGGCAATCCTCCACCCACTGAGATGCAACAACTTGAATCCTTTGACTAAGTAGAAGATGCTTCTCTGCTTCTGGAAAGCTAATCACCACAAAAAGTTGAAGTCATCACTCCCCCAAAGAAAAGAACAGAGATAAAGAAACATAGACAATGGAAAAATGTTAACCATTTAATATGTTCTAACGACAAAATAGAGAAGAACCTGGACAACGGATAGCTATAGCCAAAATTGTCAGCAGAGAAACTACTTGTCACACTAGATTTCACTTTTTTTTTTGCCTTAGGTTTTTATGTAATGCATATGGTTACAGACATTCTTAAAATCAAAATTAGTGTGTGCTCAGCCAAAAGCTATGGGAGGAGCTGCCAATCATCAATCCTGTATTCTACGCCATATCTTCTATGATAATTAAGTACCAAGACTACATCTAAACAACCACTGTTTGGAAATACAGAATCAAAATTGTGATGGCATAATATTCTCAAAATTGTGAATGAGGTAAAGATATATATGCAATGCGCTGCAAGAACTCACCACGATAACAGATTGCTCAAGTCTTCAGCTGAGACAGGAGATGACAAAACTACTACATGGGTAGCATGCGTAAGATCACAAGTAACTTTGCCACCCGCAAACACAACAGCAACCTTCATTCTCCGAAGTGCAAGTTCCAGTAGGACCTTCAACTCTGAGTTTATTCTAGACAAACAAAGAAATCAAATCTTTAACTCGTCAAAAGAGGATGAAGTGAGTTTATTGGGGATTAAAGAAACAAGAAGGGTATCTTACGACAGCGGGGATAATTTAAAGTAAATGTGGCAATCTTGAAATTGAGCCCATTTCTGTTTTGGACAGTATTTCTTCTTGTAGTGATCAATGCTCTTGGAATCTTGTGTTGAATCAATGTTACTCAAAAGCTTCAAAAGAGAAATCCAGGAAAGGATTATGAAAACCGTAGACAAGTGTATTCAACTGAACTCCTATAGCTTATTAAAACAAGAACATGAATGGGTAAAGGTCTGCTGGTCATGTACCTGTTTAAGGTCTGCAGCATCAACATCTACAAAGTAAGAATCAGAATTTTCATCGATTTCTTCCTGTAACTTCATCTTTGAGGATTCAGAAAGATAAAGGAAATACCTTCATCCAGAAATTAAAAGAGAAGTTACAAAACCAATTATTAAGTCAGGGAACAACAAATCCTGAAGAGGTAGAAACTAACTTTGGCTGCAAAGGAAGGAGTTTCTTCTGCAAACTACAATCTAGAAGCCAAGAAAAATGAATAACATCACCATGTAGTTTTGCTGCCTGAAACTTGATCCCTGCAGAATGTCCACATAAAAGACACTTATGTTTCAAATATACGTGTGTGTGTGTGTGTGTGTGTGTGTGTGTGAGAGAGAGAGAGAGAGAGAGAGAGAGAGAGAGAGACCTCTACTTTCGGCAGCAACGCAGTGTGTGACAGAGTTATTCAGATTCATCGAGAAAGTGCCACCATTCTCGACCACCATTTTATGCAAAAGGTCCAGGGAATGAGTGGAAGGTACATTTGCAAAGTCTTATGGAGGTTAAGGATGCCAAACAACAGAAGATAAATGAAAAATCTTTATAAGTATTTTCCAAATGATATGCATATGCTATTACTATATGTGAACAAGAAGAGACAAGTCCAGTAAGATAAAACAAAATTTGAGAAAACATTTGATCTAGAAAGTTAGTTTTGATCCAAACTAGATGGTCAAAGGATACAGAAAACCATCTTCAGGAATATCAGTGTTTCACTTTTCACTGTGGAAACATCAGTCTGGACAAAATGAGAAGGAACAAATGAAACATTCCTCTCTACTTTCTTTGCTGACTTTGCACGCTTGGGTTTATGATCCTGAACATCGTCGATAGCTAGTCCTCTCTGAGTAGTGCCATTGCTTGAATGAACCAACTCAACAAAAGCTGCAATTAAGTGAAAATGCTGATAATGCATCCGCAAGCACTACACCAGTCAATGAACTTAAATTTTCAATGAAGAGACATAATATATTAATAAAGCTGCAGTATGCAATTCACTGCCTATTACACTCACTCTGTACATCAAGGCATTCATACCAAGGCTTGTCGAATCTTGCTCTATCAATTCGTGGAAATCTCAGGCTGTAAGGAGCCGCAAACACCTGTAAACTCACAAATAATGAAGATAATTAACCCTCCCTAATTGCAGATGCAAGAAAAAGAGAAAATAGAATGAGGAACCAATGGTCTGTCAAAAGATGCAAATTATCCGTAAAAGTAGAGTACATTGGAAAAATAGTCAAAATATTACAGGACAAAGGAACAAAAGAAGAAGAAGAAGAAGAAGAAGAAGAAGAAATCTACACCATGGAAAGCTACTGAAGCTTTCTCATCCCTTCCCATCCTTATCCTCGACCAACTCGGAGACACCACTTCGGACCATGATGTATACACATTCTCCACACGCTTCCTCACAATTCATTAATTTCCTCCTAATACCCCTGGCTCATGAATCCTCAAATTTCTCAGTCAGAACCATCATATTATACGAGCTGTCTGGATTCCACAAGCTTAAGAAAATAGTAGAAATATTGACCGACCCTCTTTACTAATCTAAAAGACATGAATCATAAGTTAAATTGGAGCGTAATGATGCCAAGGGATTTATATTTTCTTTCCTATGCCTCTGCATATTCGTTATTCATAAAGTCTGTTGGGTAGCCATAGCTTCTTTGTATTACTGTAACCTTAGTGAATAAATTAATCTAGCAGCTACACACATAAATCGCATACTGATTTCTAGCCAAGTGAACAAATTACCATAGGCCAGGTAGGAACTATGCAAAGCTTGAGGGTAAAAAGGGTAGATTAACTACGTGGCTCCCTATGCTCGGCAATTTGATCATCAAAGAAGTTGTAGTACCTTGTATTTATTTTCAGTTTTTAAAAGTGTAGAAGGCTGTTACAGATTTCCTCAGTACAATAATTGGTTTTTCCTGCAGAGGAAAATGGAAGGACCTGATTGCTATTATTCGAAAAAGTTAACTAATCTCTCTGATAACAAAAGAGGGTGGTAACTTGAAGCATTCGGAACCAATGACGACCACTTTCCCTAGTAACTGTGATAGGGGTACAATCCAGGGACTAAATCATGTACGTCAAAAAGAAGTTAATTTGAATTAAAGGCCATCACGATGCTCATGCCGCATACAGTAAAATCTCTAAGGTCCCAGTTCTCTTCTCCAATGAATCTTAGTTTTCATGGCAAACAATCCACTCCTTTTCACCCAATGTCCCAGTTTGACCGCCAAATAACAAAGCTTACCATTTCAACTTAACAAATTGGTGCCCATGAATTTTGTACGGTTGCATGGTAACATAACAACAAAAACAAGTATGGACCGCAGACAGAAACAGTTTGAGACTGGCCAAAATCTCACACCAAAAGAGGGAACCAATTTTGAAGGAAACTTTGGGATAGAGTAGAGTCCTACCTCAGATTTGATTGTTCGAATATCGCTGGTGATTGAAACTATAATTGATCTGCATTTACAGTAGCAACTCAGAGACATGTATTCAGCAGTAAGCATTTATTTACTTAAGAACATATGCTCACTTCTCTGGACTTTCAACCCAGACATCAGGCCTCTCTTTCGAGTTATTTGTAACATGATAAAAACTTGGTGCCCCCTTCTTTGGGTATTCGTATTTCCTAAAACCAGTAGACAATTTAGAAACATTACATACATAGAAAGACAAGGAGATGGTACAAAAAGCATATTATTACTCATAATCATAGTTTCTGGTCGATTAAGGTACTTGTAACTGATCTGATGATTGAAAACTAATAAATTCTTACCTAAAATAAGGCTTTAATTTGTTAACAACTGTTTCAAGCTCCTCATCAGAAAGGCCAGTACCTACCCGGCAGAAAGAAATAAATCTGCATAGTAAAGCTGAATTCAGATACATTTATCTGGGGCGGGTGGGAGTTTGCATAACAAAGATATGCAAAAATATGAAATCAACACATTTGATTGAATTCACTTGCTTCCAAAACCAAAGGCAAAAAGGCCCACAGAGATACAAGTTCATAGCCAAAGGGGCAAGAACCTAAACCTGCTAATTGCAAGACGAGAACCTACAGAGGCTGGTTGTTCAACATGTTTCTTTTATCATTTCTTTTTTTTACAATGGCCAGTGTCTTTTCTATTCTATTTACATGGAAAGGGACCATATCCATGATATTATTTACAAAAATGCAGAGTTGAATTACCAGACCAGAGTATTTTCAAATGTTTGATAACATCTGGAATGGGACTGCTGATCCAAGGATTTCAGAAATCAGAACCAACTGCCCCAACAAAAAAAAAATAAAATCCATCTGCAGGTCGCCACTTAGCTGAGGCTACATTGTTAGCCAAAGAGGCAACTGCAAACAACGGCAACAACAAGCCTTTTTCTTCGTGGGGTCGGCTATATGGATCATATGTTGCCAGTGTACTCGTTCAAAGAAATACGCCTGAAGAGAAACCAAGAAAAATGATGTCTGTAGCCCCTCGAAACTTAGTATCCAAGGGCCAAGATTTTTCCACAGCAGACGTTGAATCAAGAAACTAGATTCAACATCAAAAGGATTGGAATTAACTAACAGCTGACCCTTCAGCAATGCTCATGTCGCAAGCATTACATCCAACAACTAACTGACGAACATCCCTTAGATAGTTTAACCCTAAGAAATCCAATGGCTTTCCTCTAAACATAGTGCTTATACAAAATAAAATTAGCCACCACTGACCAACCACCAAATAAATCTTGCAGATAACAAGAATGCTTAGCACATTAAAGAGTGCAGAAAATATCAATTTCAGAACGCAAAGAACAACACTGCAGTCGAGAAGCTTGCTGCAGACCTGATATACTCATTGCCTAAAGTAATGATAGATAAATTCATACCTCCTGGGATGCATATTAGGTAACGGACGCTCTGCCAATCCCACCAGAAATTGTGCTACCTAACCAGAAGAAGGATGTGAAAAACCTACACTCGGTTGGATACAAACAAATTGAACTACAGAAACAGATAAAACTCACCTTTCCTCCGTGGCGTCCAGAACCATAATAGCCTCCTATAATCAATAGAATGGAATTCCTTAACAAGAAACCAAATATGTTCCCATCAGAGAGTGAAAGGAAGTCCTTCTAACCTATAATTAAAACATCGAGATCGGCACCAGCTCTCACATACTCAGGCTTCAACTTTAACCACTTTCCACTTCGATCACCAGGTTCCCACTTGGAACTAAGGTCTTTTAAGACAATTCCTTCATCCCTAAGTAGAAAGCAAGTTATTCGAGAAAATGAAAACAGAAGACAAAATGTAAATATTCTCACATAAGATGGAGAAAAAGATGCAGTCTGAATGGTGAGAAAAGTAGCTTCCTTAATGTTCAGCCAGTATATTTTTCCCGTTTGCAAATTATGTTTGAAAAATCGTCAACTTCATCACCACAACAGCCACCACAGTCCTAAACTTCAAAAAGAACTGCTGACTATCTACTGAATGCACGGTAATTCAGTAAGCAATTTATGCCAGCAAGAATCCTTATCAAGTCTTAATTCCAAACAGAATACAAGAGTTGAGAAAAATAAAGGATTGAAAAGCAGATAGAATTGAGAATTTTAATGGTTCTAAAGCGTTTTACCCCCACCATCTCCTGATTAATAGATTTTTGAAGGTCAAAAAATACAACAACACGCCTTTTTCCCACTAGGTGGGGTCGGCTATATGGATCATGTCGCCATCATGCTCGATCATTACATAAATCATCCCTCAAATTTAAATATTTCAAATCATTTTTTATAATTTCTTTCCAAGTTTTCTTCAGTCTACCCCTACCCCACTTAATTTGAGTTCTTAATTCTATAATTTCTACCCTCCTAACCGGTGCCTCCACCGGTCTCTTACGCACATGCCCAAACCATCTTAAATGAGTCTCTCTCATTTTCTCATCTATCGAAGCTACCCCTACCTTATTTCTAATGCATTCGTTTCTAATCCTATCTAACCTAGTATGCCCACACATCCATCTTAACATTCTCATTTCCGCTACCTGTATTTTTTGTTCATTTTCATATTTGGTAGCCCAACACTCGGATCCATAAAGCATCGCCGGTCGAATGGCCGTTCGATGGAACTTGCCTTTCAAATTCAATAGTACTTTACGATCACAAAGTATTGAAGACGCACTTCGCCATTTGTTCTACCTGGTTTGATATCGGTGTGTTACATCTCTATCTATGCCTCCATTTTCCTCTATAATAGATCCTAGGTATTTAAAACTTTTAGATGTGTTCACTACATGTTCACCAATTTTAACATTTACCATGTTATTACTCCTACGATTACTAAAATGGCATTCCATATATTCCGTTTTAGCCCTACTTATTGTAAAAACCTTTAGATTCTAGCGCATCCCTCCAAGTCTCTAACTTGGCATTTACCCCCCTCCCCTTGTCTCATCTATTAAAACTATGTCATCCGCAAACAACATACAATCGAGGACAGCTATTTGCAAATGCTTAGTAATTTCATCAATTACTAAAGCAAAAAAGTATGGGCTCAATGCCGACCCTTGATGCAAACCAACCGTGATTGAGAATTCACCCGAAATCCCTACCGAAGTTCTCACGCATGTTGTTGCATTATTATACATATCTTTTATAGTTTCTATATATCCCACTCTCACTCCCCTTTTTTCTACCACTTTCCACATTATATCCATATTAACCCTATCATATGCTTTTTCAAGATCAATAAAGACCATATGCAAATCTTATTTTCTCTCATTAAAGTATTCACATAATCTTCTTATTAAGTGTTATGGCTTCCATTGTTGATCTTCCCGGCATAAAGCCAAATTGATTTTCCATTATGTTAGTTTCTTGTCTTAACCTAGTTTCTATCACTCTTTCCCACAACTTCATTCTGTGACACATTAGCTTTATTCCCCTATAGTTAGCGCAATTTTCTATATCTCCCTTATTTTTAAACAAAGGTATTAGTGTACTCTTCCTCCATTGGTTAGGCATCTTCTTACTCTTCATAATTATGTTAAATAACTCCGTTAGCCATTCAATCCCAAATTTACCTAGGCATCTCCACGCCTCTATTGGGATATCATCGAGGCCATTTTTCATTTTTTGCATAGCTTTTTCAACTTCTTTAAGTTGGATTTTTCTATAGTATGTGAAATTTTTATGATTCTCACTTTGCTCTAGTTCTCCTAATGTTATTTCCCTATTATCTACTTCATTAAATAGCTTATGGAAATACTCTTTCCATCTATCTTTTATTATCTTGTCCTCAACTAAGACATGTCCATTTTCATCTTTTATGCATTTAATTTTGGTTGAGTCTCTTGTCTTCTTTTCCCTTAGTTTTGCAATTTTATAAATATTTTTTTCTCCCTCCTTAGTATCCAATTTTTTGTAAAAATTTTCAAAAGCTTCTATCTTGCCCTCACTTACTACTTTTTTCACTTCTTTTTTAGCCTTTTAATATTTTCCTCTCATCACTCCTACAAGTGTAAAAGGCTTTGTAACAAAAGTGAAAAGCATCCAAAAGCATCTTTAGCTCATGTAGTCTATTCTAGGATCCAAAAGAAAAGGGTTGTCATGGCTACAATAAATCTTACAATATTTGCATACAAAGGTGACTATTATTGATAACAGGCCATCAAAAATAAAGTTTGGAAAAAGAGAGGTTTTAATCTTTATGATTCCATATAAAAGGGAAAGATGTCAGCAAAAAGGAAACACTCGTAATGATGAGGAGATATTTAAGTCCTAACAAATTCAATCAACAATGATGATCAGCTGCCAGCAAATGAACTTTTGACAAGCAACTGATATGTACATCTATGTACATGCAAGTATACGACGCCTACATGATCTTTCAAACAGATGACTCTGCGACACTAGTGTTTTAGAACTTTAACCAGCTAAAAATTCGAAGAATAGATATTGTCAAGTTTACCATAAAGGAACCACTGTTTCACACTCGCGAATGTGGCTCTCATTGAAGTAATAATTGCGTCAACAAAGTATAATAAAACAGAGTACATCAATTTTATATAACCTATGATGAACATTACCTAGCTGAATAATGCCCTCCAGAGAGTTCAACAACTGATTTGAAGAGAGCATAGTAATGGACCGGATAATTCATTTCCATAAGGGTTTTTTTGAACAAGGATTTGGGTCCCATCAAACAAGCAGAAAAAAAATATGTAAAATAAATCCTACTCAGTATCTTACGTATCAATATCTTCCAATGGATGAGATAAATGCATTTAAAATTACTAACCTGTTCTCAATAGTTTCTTTGAAAAACTTTTCAACTTCCTCAACACCACGAGCAACAAATGACCAGCACGAATCTTGAGTGAAACAATGGAAAGAAAAAAAAAAAAAAAGAAAGAAAGAAAAGAATTACGAAGTAGAAACCAGTCTCCATCAGCAGATTATGCATCTCCAAAGCCAAAAGCAACAAAATTTATGTCCAGAACTGTATGAATGAAGGTAACGATAGTGTCTCTCACAAAATTACCGGCACTCATTTCTACAAGAATTATTCGTTATATGCAAAAGAGGGAAAAACAATTCAGCAAATAATAATGAAAATGAGAAAGAGATACAGAAGCGCTAAAGGTGAAATGTTGAATAAAACAAAGAAAGATGGAACACACTGACACTAAAAACAAGAAAGATTGACAAGCCAAAGAACACTACAACACACAGCACCTAACAACCACCAACCCACTAATGCAAGTAAATTCATTAGGTTTCCTGGGAAACCTAGAGAATCCTCAGCTCACAATATGGAGAAAGAAAAGTACATACACAGTTAGCACATAACTACCCAAATTCTTTAATCAACGACCAATGATACTTGAATAAAACCTAAAATCATCCACAAATTGTGATTATACCATTAACAAGATGTCGTAACTACTTCGGGAATCAAAAAAGCAAAAAACATGGGGAAAAAAGGACCTCCTAGTCAACCAACTGAAAGCCTAAATTTGTCCATTTACACTGTTAAGAATTTTTGAAACTTAAGACAAAATATCATAGAGCGGCACCACCACGTGTCCGCGGAGCCAAGATACCAGCGCATCCCAGATTAATTCTCAAAGCTGCACATGTCAGAATACTATCAGATTTTTATAGAATTCTCCTCCCAATGAAGAACTTATTGAAATCCTCATCCAAATCCTTGATGGAACCTTTTACCCTAAGTTCATCGCTACAAAGTTGAACAAGCAACATGAAAGGTTGTGTAAGCCAATTCCAGTTGATCATACTTACCAACTGCGTCTAGGTTATCTTTTTGATCTATTTAGTTTCAGTCTTTACCTTGGTTGAAATCTAAATTGAAATGATTGCCATTTTTTCTGAAGCAATCCTTATCAGCCTTTTCGATTTGGATTAAAAACTTTAGTTTTCCATTTGGATCATCATGATATTTATTGATACTAGTTGCAAATAAGCTGCTTAATTTAAGAATCTTCATTGATAAAAAATCATTACAACACTGAGGTAAGGCTAATTATGTAAGACATTTGCATATAAACCTATCATCGATTTTTGGCTTCCGGTTCCGCATATGGGCCAGATCTTCCGGCCTTAGCCAAACTATAAGCAGAAGCTATTGGGGTGCTGGCAGAAGGGATAGCAAACAAAATTTTCAGGAATAACCATGTGGGAGTACTTCAATGAAATAGTCAACTCCAATCCAATTTACGTATCAGACGTTCGGATGCAAATGAAAAGTAACATTGGATTGCCCAATGAGGATTGAAATCACGATGCTGGAAAGACAGTACATATGGACTGATAATTTCATGAAGATTTGTTAATGTCAAGGTGTTATCATTAGTCAAAATGGAGAATGGCCTACAACCCAACCTAAGATCATTTAAGCACAATGTGAAAAAGTTAACTAAATTTGCTTAAATCCACAAACAAATCGCATGGACATAAATCAACATTTTAAATTAATCCTAATCAACTGCATCATGCTTCATTTTCTTTTGCTCCATCTTTAATCGTTTCCAGCTTAATGATAGCATTTTTTTTTAAAAAAAATAGTTTTTCTGCATGTGACTTATTAGAGATGAAATCACAAAGAAGAAAAATTGAATTGTATAACTAGAGCTATTCAAAACATAGGCCACAGTGTCAATTAGTTTGTTTTAATCATAAGATATGAGATTCAGCCACTTGGAAAATATCTCACATTCAGCCTTCAGCAGCTCATATAAAATTAATTTCCAGAAACTAAACAACTTCTTCAAGACTTCCAATCCAATTTCATCAAACAGGAAAAAATTCAAAAATATTCAGAAGGAGAAGACATAATATTACTTTTCTTTTTTTGGAAAGGAAATCTTGACTTTTGTCCATTGAAAAGGCAGCATCATTGACAATTCTTTCAGCTATGTGCTAACAAAGGACTAGATCAAAATGGTTCGATTAAATTCCGATGCTTCTAAATTTTAGTGAAGTTGCCGGAAATGAATACGTCAAATAAACCAATGCATCTTGGGCCGTACTTAAACAGCCTCTCTGTATTGAAATACTGCGGTAAGCCTTTGTATATCGCATTATTGTGAACCCTCAGACCCAAAACGACAATAGGAATATACTTGGTATGTCATTGCTGCAGTAAAGGAAACCTTGATAACTGAACCAACCGCCAAGTTATACAGGGTCACCAATTCAAACAAGACTTTTGTCTCTGGAGTCGAGAGTTTGAGTCATTTAAAAACTAATAAAAGGAAAATATACAAAGAAATTCCCTGTTTTATCTGCAGTTCATAGAAACAGCCCTATTTGGGGACCACTTCCATTAGTAAACTAACAAAGCAAAGATATGAAATTCAGAAAATATGTTATGCAACGTCAAAAGTTCAATAAAAAATTTTCGCCTTTGGATCAGTAGGTTTGAGGTATTTAAAAAAACTATTAAGAAATTCATCAGTTACGGTGCAATTTCTACAAACAGCCCTAATACACAAATATTTCCATCACCAAACTAACGAAGAAAGGATATGAAATTCAGAAATATTATCAATTCAGAGGGTATGATTTAGACGGAAAGATTCAATATAACAGATTTAATGTAAAACCAAAATTAAGTGTTTTTGTTGATATCCCGTGTCAACAAGAAATCCCTAGTGTGAACTATAAACAATTGCATAACATAACAGGCATGAAAATTTTACCAGAATGGCGAGTTCCATTAAGACCACCATCAGGAACCAGAATTTCAAATCGACCTTTGATTGGCTTCACAACTTTCGACAGAAGATCATGACGTTCGCTCAGACTCTGGTGTATAACACTTGTATCTCCAGCATATAGAATATCAAAAGCAACGTCTAACAATTCAGTGAAGGACACACAAACGAGTAGTCGGCCACAAGCTCAGTAGTAAAGACCGTAAGTAACTCAAAATTTGCAGTACTGTTCAAATGCGAATGACTTAACAAGGGAATGAACGCATCTGGAACTTCATAATCAATCGTGACAAAGGATACAACACAGCTGCATCAGAAAAAGAACATAGAAAACATGTTACAACAGTTTCCTGGTTATAAAACTTTCAGAGGCGATTTTATAAATGATACCTGCCGATCACTATCCAGTCCCTCCCTTGTAGCCTTCGCTGCAAAACAGAAGGCGGGGACAAATTAACATTCAAGTCTTCCTAATCTTAATAGAAAAGGATTCAGTATATGGTAACCCCTCCAACCCAGAAAAAAAGTCAACTTTGAGGAACTAAAACAGTACAACAAAGAGGACTATGAAAGTGGGATGGAGGGAGCATAATTGAAGAAAGAGAAGTTATCAAACCTATCTCTTGATTAGAACCAAAATCTGCAAAACGGTTTTCAGATGTATCCCAGACCAACATTTCACCATCAAGTATACACCTATGTCAGAAAATAGGCACATACACTATCACCATTTATGTTGTACTTGAATGAACCAGAGAATCCCCTTTCATAAGGGTATGCAACTGAAATAATATGACCAGAGATTTAAAGCCATTGTTTCTACCACCCTATAGTAACATTAAGCAATTATAAATTTCCACATTCAAAAATGTGGAGAATGTCAGAGGAACATTTCATAAATTTACACGACAAGAGCAGCCCCCCACACCCACCAACAAAAAAAAGTCAGAATTCCTTCCATAACTTCCCCCAAATATATATATATTAAAAAACAAAAGAGTAATCTTTTGAACATGTACAATTATCAGTCTATAAAAGAGGATATATTAACTATTTCTCTGATAAAACTCTCGATAATGGAAAAGATACAAAAACATTACCTTTTTTATTTAAACAAGACATTTGAAGATGGAACCTTATTACTGGGACGAAGTATAATACTAAAAACAGAACTAATTAAAGAATGACACTACTTTCAGTATATTATAAACAAATCAGTTATTTCAATTCTAATAATACTGAAATAATGTTCATCAATAAGACACATGATAACCAAATCCATTTAAGCTGCCAAGCCACCCAGCTACAGTTTTTATATAACAGAAATATATCCCAAAATGGCTAACTCATAATTATTCCGATTGTAAAACTGGCACGAAAAAACATGATCAGCTAACTTTAACACTCACATTGTTTGATAATGTGTTCTAACTTAAAACTCATGTTAAGATGTATATGTTTCCCAGTGTGGACTCTTTGTTAGGACTAGACTATACTTTCCTTGCGTAAACTAAAATCATATCCAAAAATTTAAAACCATTGCAAGCGCATCAGATGGACTTTATTTAATCTCATCACCTATACAAAGATTTTACCATTCAAGACCTTGATAGTTTACCAAGTAACATGCTCAATTGAGTATACTTTAAAACTGAAACATCGCTTCAGCAAAGGCATTTTACCAAATTCCCAAAAGTTGTCAGCATAATGAACCATACAATCAAAGGATTTTGAAGAAAGCGGCAAAGTATGCCAAACAGAGTAATCCACAGAAATTTTGCTAGCGGTAAAAACAAGAATATGGGCAGTTTCTTAGTTTTCCATACCTGTCAACCAGAATATTGTTTGCAATGATGCCTGCCATAGCATGCTCGTATTCCGGATGAGAAAGGAAGTTTCTACATAAATCAAGAAAAGTAATATCATGGCCATGGAAACTAAAAACTTTAACATTTACCTTAGCGTCACATATTTATAAATCGAGAAAGATTTTTCCCACTTTTATCAATACTGATGTATTCTTTTTAAAAAAGTTTTCGGAGTGCACTACGAGCAAACTACATCTAACATCTCCCTTATCCTCTAGTGACCCTAAAGTCCTATCTAAAATTGGTTTAGAAGGGAGAAAATTTACTTTGTCCCAATGCTTCGGTTTTACATCATAGTATGTCAAAATCACAAATTAAATCCACCATAATGGCTAAGAAAGGAAAAGATTGACTTCAGACCAACTCTTTAAGGAGACTAATAAAAGGAATAACAAGCATTTGCTGGCAAGAACAATAAACCAAAAAAATTACCTAGAAAAGAAATATATTTCCGAGTTATTTTTGTGGAGTTGAATACGATCACCATCAAATTTGCATTCGACAACTACTTCCTTTCCATGAAGCTGTTATAAGTACCGTTGAAAACAGATTAATAAAATGGAAAGAAAAGGAACTTTTGTAAAGGAACCAGTGATAAATGCATAACCAAAATCAAATTCAAAAGAATAGCAGAGTTTAGAGTGGTGACCCTTTTCCAAGCAGCAGCAACATTGCTCACTCTGAGTGCAAGCTGAGGTCGCACAGCTTTTCCAACTTCAATGTCCTTTGAACAAAAAACATGATAGCTTAAGGGCATTATAAAGGCACAGAGAAACAAGACAACAAAATACAGAGAAGCATAAAAATAAATCCAATTACTTAAAAGATGCAAAACCTGCTTCCTAGTAACATACAGGAATGGGTAGAAATACTATCTAAATAGGAGGAAGGACACCTAATTAAAAATCTAATCAACTACAAATGCGGACCAACAACACGTAACAAAAGGCAGAAACTGGATACAGGGGCATAGTCTGAAACCAGGAATGTAACATATCATGATTGAGAACACAAACCATATTTTGAGCAGATATCCCTAGTAAAGTGTTTCAGAAGTATAATTTAGGTATTTCAGAAGCAGATATCCGTGGAGAAGAAGCTAACCTGACGCTTGTGCCTTTCACTTCTGTCCCTAAGTTTTTCACAAACTAGTTTTAAGTCACATGTGACATTGAACAAGTCCTCAGCATCCGGATGAAATTCATGAAAGATGCTCTTTTCACTTATTCCCAACTTAAGATCTGATTGCAGGAGCATAAACATTGTGTGAAAGAAACAGAAACCAAAACTGAAATCCAAGCGAAATTCAAGAGAGAACCTGAAAACTTGTGCACTTCAAAGTTATGAGAAAACCAAACCTTTCAGTATGATCATTATAATCCACTTCATTTCATGAGAATTTGTCTCCTTGATCAAATCAGAAAGAACAGAAGTCTTTTCCACTCTGACACAAAAAAGTCCAATAACGAATTTGTCAATATGGAAACAAAAGCAATAGTCAATAACGAATTTGTCAATAGCGAATTTCTCCACTTTGACGTCATGCGCTAATGTAACAAAAGCAACAGGGAAACCAAAACCAACAATGAACATCATGGAAGGAAATGCTTCTGATAAACATAAACCAGGAGGATAGATTCTTCAAAACAATTGACATCAAAGTTGATGAAATTCATGTCAGCAAATCCGCCAATATTAATGAAGATTTTCTTTGACAATTTGTTTATTAGTTTGATTACTGCTATGGTTATGTCTCATTAGGTGGGTCAGAATCCACACTATTCTGGTAGCCAAAGAAATGTAAACCATTAGTTGGATCCATAGGAGGTGAAAAGTGGCAGTTTACTTCATATGAATTGAAAGGAGAGCTCCCATGAGGGCTAGAGGTCTTATGTATAATTAGTTATGTGCTGCTGCAACACTATGTAGGAAGCAGAGATTCGTGCTGCAACAGCACAGGGACTCAGAGAAAAATAGGCAAGATCACAAAATGGATTCACAACCAAGCATAGAGTAGTATCTAATTTCGTTCCAAAAAGGTGACAAAGATTACCTCATGTCGAAGTTTCAGTACCCCACTCCCCAGCCCTCCCCCAACCACCGCCTTTTACTGTCAATCTTTCTCTTGCCCCCTCTATCCCTACCCTACCATCCCCTCATGTGCCAGAATTTTGCCTTCTAGGCCTGTTTGACTCAAAATCACGAAAGATACTCAAGGGTCTAGCCTAACCTAGTATAGCGTCAATTGGGATTAGTCTCAAAATGGGCTAACAATTTCCAAAAGTACCCATTTAATAATTACGATGAATACCCTCCAAAATGTATACAGGGTGTCTAGAACACTATGCCATTTAAATAAAAAAAAGTCTATACAGGGTCCAATCAGCTTTATTTAGCACAATTTGCAAACTTTCCTAATGTCTCATCAATTAGAAGACTGCTGATGATCCTTGAGCTAATCATTATGTCTGTATTCCTTGAGTGTGTGTGATGACTTTATCATAAGGGAATTATTAAAAGGGCAATGTAAATGAGAACTTTCAAAAACTGTAGGATATTTCAAGTACAATGAAGCCAACACATCATCCTAACCACGCTCAGGGGTGGGGGTCAATGGGGCATGAGAAGGAATTATGTGGATCTTTGGAAGTAGAGGAAGATAGTGAAAAGCTAAAGTACTTGATTGATGCCCGACCAAAGACTTGTTATATTGTTACAGCAATTATACTTCTAGAGCAGCAATAAGGCTAACAACAGTTCCTTTCTGAATTCTCACATTAAAGTACTTCTTTTTCCTCCATTGTATTAATTTCATGCTGTACCAAAAAGTAAATTATTCAGCCGCTGTAAATGAAAGACATTGTACATCCACAGATTCCACAATGAATTAAATGGTAAACAAGTATACCAAATGATTAAATGGCAACATTTGAGGTAACGTATATGATAAAACCAAGACATACCTATTTTCACTTGAAGTCAAGCGATCTAGCAATTCATTTACCTTCTTCAAAGTCAGCTCACCAGAAGTCAAACCTTGCCTCCTTTGCAGTACCTAGTTTGTAAATTAACCCCAAATCAACACTCAAGAATACCAACAAATCTTTTGACAACCATAAGTACCTGATGTCACAACCTTTATTAAACTATAATCTATCATGCTCAATTTTTAAAGCTTATCTGACCAGAAGTCTTTCAGCTAGAACTTCCTACCTGTCCATATTAATCCATAGAAATGCTGCAAGACAGCATAACATGGTGACATCATATACATGCAGCTCTTTGGAAAGTCTATCTTCTGGAAATAATTAAAAACAACATTTGTTTACACTGTGTATCACATTTTCTATTTGGTCTCTTCTAAATTAGACACATATGAACTGTCCCCTGTTCACTGTCAGAGCTATCTAAGCTGTGTAGAGTCGTCAGTTCAAGAGTATAGACATTGTGCATTGAATCTTGTATAGCTTATTTACATATATCAGCTACGTGTATCAGATTTTTACTATGCTTTTAACAGTACCAAAAATTACTACAGTTGGCGGTTCTTCATTTTTACAGATAAAAACCATATAACACAGTGCGCATAAAATTGGAAGCTCCCTCTTCTGTAAATCCATTCCAGGACTCAAATTTCAAAATTGAACGTCTGCTAAAATTAGTTCCACAACTCCTTCGTATTACATAGACTTTAAGGTACTGACAGACTAATGTAAATTCCTAGTACATAGACTCTCCCGTCACAATGCTTTAGAGCAAACGATACCGACAATAAATTAAAGCAAATTGAGGCGAAACTGTGGAGAAAGCAAACCTCAGAGGCGACGAGAGAGAAGTTACCGGCGCTGGCGCCGGTTTTGGGGCCACCTTTCCGCCAATTGAGGAGGCGCTGAGCGTCGGGGGAGTCACGGGACATGCCGAGAGCGTCAATGAGACAGATGGCGAGGGCGTGCTCCTTGAGTCCATAGGAGCCACGTTCCCGATCAAGCGCCGGCAAGATGAGGCGTACGGCGCTGAAGTAATCCCCCGGTTTGCGGCAGAAAGTGTCAAGGAATTTGCGGAACTTGGAGCGCTTCTTCGCTGAGGATTTGCTCCTTTGCATCCAGTTGAATAAGCTCACCATTACACTGAATTTGATGTCGGATTCCTCCATTTTTGAAGTTGTTTCATTCAAATTGGTACAGAGAAAGAAGCTTCAAGTCACCCCTGTGTTTTGAAAGCAATTGGACGAAACCGCCTAAATGAAAAAATTGTCCTTTTATTTTCGACAGGTCCTTCTGAAGAAGAAGCTTGCTGTGGAATGTTTTTATTTATTGGGTTAATATCAAAAACACCCTCGAGGTTCAATCTATTATGAAAAAACCCCTCGCTTTTTAGACAAACATCAAGACACGCCCATGAGTTGTGTGAGTCAACTGCCAAATCAGTCCTACAGCAACGGAAAAACAATGCAGGAAGCAAGATTACGAGATCAGCAAGAAAATTATTGTGTAGCACTATTACCCTTAGTTCAGGACCCATATACATTCATTTTAGAGGCCAGCAATTTTACCATCCATTTGTCTCAAAAGAAAAAAGCTATAGAAAAAGGATATGAAGCACGAGCATGTTGGAAGCCCGGTCAAAGGTCAAAACTTGTCCTTGAAATTCCTCTCCAAAAGAAGTCTTGATGGAGAGTTTATATCCCACCGCGAAATCTTTGTTGCTGTGCTGAGCTTCCATGGATTTAGGACGTTCTCTTAATGATGAGAATCATGTAGCCTTCCATAGAGGTTCTCCTAGTGAGGGGAATGAGCTAGTCCTTCATCCTAGTTTTGGAATGCCAAGTTTACTTTGCAGACCAATCAAGGAAGAAAGGATGGATCTTGACTACCTATGTGATAGGGAGTTGGTTCAAGAGAGCTATGATCAAGGTGATGAGAATGTCATTAACTTTGGGTTTCAAACCAAAGGAGATGAAGACCTCATGGACATAAGTGCTGAAGAGTATCAAGAGAGTTTGACTCTGTGTGCTCCATGAAGATCATTGATCAAGCTAGTGAGAAGAGTCATTTAGGTTCTTGAGTGGACGCCCTATTTGATCAAAGTGTTCAAGATTGAGTCCATTGCTACACAATTGGATAGGTTGCAAACTATCTTAATTGTTTCAAGTGTTTTTCCAATCTTTTGGAGTCAATAAAGAGAATTCTACAAGTTTTGGAGTAAATTGGAGTTTTCTACAACTTAAGGGGCGCAAGACCAATATTCCACTTTTGAAAGGGCGTTCAAGACATTTTACTTCAAAAATTTGGAGCTGAATTTCGAGATTAGAGTTAGTCTAAGTCTAGGAGTAAATTTTTGAATTTTTATCTAGTTAAATAAGTCATGTGGACTGAATTAAACTAGATTGTTTTGATTAGGAGTCTTAGATTCCTTCTAGATATTATCCTACTTGAGGATAAGTCAGTTAGATAAGGTTTCCTAGATTTTAGATAGAGTCAAAGAGATCAAGTACTCTTCTACTTTTACTCCTTGGGAGATAATATTAGAGAGTCGTAATTGGTCTTTTTTTTAGTGGTGCTGGCCGAAAATTCAAGCCTATATATAGGAGGCTTGGCCGAATTTTAGAAGCACCCTTGAGTGGTCATTTTTGTTGTCTCTTTTGAGAGTTTTTCCTGTGAGGAATTTTTGTTAAATGGAGTGTCCATTTTTCGTGTCAAGTATGATTAAACCAAGAGGGTTTTCATCTTGTCTTGGATCTTTTTGATCTTGCAGAAACCATTCTTTTTCAAATATGCTTCTTGATAGAATTGTTTTAAAACAAAACTTCTTATTTTCATACTACTTCTAGTAGTTCGATTGATGAGCCTTTCCTTTGGCTTGGTGTTCGAATTTCATGATGAGTGTGTTCATGAGATCCATTGTGGGGTTTGTCCTACTTTTGTTGGATGAGTTGTGCTTTGGCATAAGCATTTTGAGATAGTGTATGTGTTGCATATCTTTGGTTGGTTATGAAGATTACTAATCAATAGTATTCCTTCATAGTTGGGCATTGTTTGCTCCTGCCTTTCTTGAGTCTCTTGATAGATGACTGATCGAGTATATTGAATGGTGTCCTTGCTATTCTTAGCGTGGGTTGTTGTTTAATTCGAATCTTTCATGGATAATGTGTTCTTTGTTTGGTTTGAGTTAAGAGATAGAATCACTTAGATAAACGATCGTCTTACTGTGAATTTTCCGCACTCTTTTGAGTTTCACGGGATAGACAAAATTATCTTCGTACTTTCTTGTTGATGGTTGCATTAATGAAATTTTCTTCGTCTACGAGATTGCTATCAGTTTTTTGGTATCAGAGCTTGGATTATCTTAGTGATGGTATTAATTGATATTATCATATTAGTTCCTATTATCAGTTTGATTTTCGAGAGATTTCTTCTTAGTTGAGGACTTCATAGTTCTTGGTTTTGAGAATATCTTGAATTACCACGGAATCCGTTACTTGGTGTGGTAATCGAGCTTTGTGCTACTTAACGAGTAGTACTATCTTTATTTGTTTCAAGGTTCCTTCTTGTTTTGGAATGGGGTGTTGAAAAAAATAAATCAAATTCTTGTGAAAACTACGTTGTCAAAATTGATCTTGTCTTTTGTGTGGTTGTGCGTGACTTCTTACACATTTGTTTGATCTTGTGGTGTTATTTTGAGGTCTATGCGAGAACTTGATGATGGTACATTGGTATCTAATCAAAGTGGGCGCTACATCTTGAAATTTATCCTTGATTTGCAAGTAGAGAACTGTTTCTCCTATGAGCAAGTTGGTGGATCTTATGTGTTGGATCTTTAAGGAGAGAATTGATGCCAAAGAAGAGCTTCTTGCTCGAGATAGCCTTTTCTTTCTAAAGAGATGTCTTTACATAAGGAGGATTTGAGAGTTTATCTTGTGGTAAATATCTTGGATCTATTCTTTGAAAGGTGAAGCTTAGTGATTTTATACTTTCTACATAAAGTATAAATGAAAAAGCCTTCTTTCTTGTTGGTTTCATTTGAATCTAATGAGTAAAATGGAATTTATGGATTTTCAATTCATGAAAATTTCATAGAGACCGAATTTTGTTGATTATCTTGTTTAATCTTAGTGTCAAAAGATTTTTCAAAAGTAACAAATGTTGGTTTTCTTGTTTTCTCGAGTTTTACACTTTGAGATTGAGTCGAATTAGTGGATTCTTCTTATCATTGGATTTTTCATGATTCTTAACTGAGTCAAAACTTTCTTTGTCATGTGATGAGGAATGAATTTTTTTAGTGATATCAGTTTTTGGTATCAAAGTGTTTTAAGGTCTTTGAAGTTGAATTGTGCCAACTTTAAGGATTGAAGTCTTTGACTTGTGTTTTAAAACCTTGATTTTCGAGAGTATGATCGAAAATTGAGTGAAGTCTTACTAAAAAGATTTTCTTAATTTATGACAAGAAATCTTATAGGCTTTGAGATGTATTCTTAAAGTTTACATATTTGGTTGTTGGAAAAGTTGATTTTCAATAGTCACTTATGAAGATGGCATTGTTAAGTCATTGAGTTTTCAGAATGATTTGTGTTAAATTTAGTATTATGAAGCAAATGTCATAATTGAATGAGGAACTCTAATTTCCTACTTCATTATAATTATGGTGTTCTTGTTACTTTATTTGCCATGGATTGTTTTGGTAAAAAGTGATTTTTGTTAATTCCAAGTACAATTTGGGAAAGGGTTTTTAGAAAGATTCTAAAAGTTGTTGTCCATTTTTGGAAAGTGGTAATTTTCAAGTTTCCTTTTTTAAGTGAGTCAAAAGTAATTTTTCAAATTTTAACTATGTGGTAAAAGGTTAATAGCCGAATTTTTGCGGACTTTTTGCATGTGTGTGCGTGTGATTTATGTGGTATTCTAAGCCTAGTTGGTTTTGAATTTTAGAGTCATAGTATAGCCGAAATTGTGAAGCTAACAATTAGGGTTTCCTAGTCCTAGTTGAACTTGAATTTTGGTTGTCTATTTGTATTACACTTGGAGACCTATTTGGTCTTGTATTTGTGTGTTCACATGGCCAAAAATTTTAGCCCTAAAATTAAGGTCACTGAGTCCAAATTGTGTTATGATTTGAGTCCTATTCGGTTTTGGATTTTTGTGTTCACATTGGCCGAAAATTTGCAGCCATTGTTTCCTAATTGTAATACAATTTTATTGTGTGTTTTATTTAAGTCCTACTTGGATTTAAATACTAATTTTTGCATGTGTTAAATTATAATTTCAGTGAGATTATAATTAGAGTTTTAAAGTGAGTCTATTTTCGAAAACTATTAAGATAAGGAAGTCTTATCCTAATCTGAAATTTTTTTTAGTCTTCTAATACAATTGTGCATGTGTGTGGCCGTGTATTTTAGTCCTTTTAGTAGTAGGGGGGTCGAAAATTTTATCTCTAATAAGTAGGGATGAGTTTTCCTAATTTGTGTCCAAAAAGGATTATGTTTACCTAAGTTTGAGGACTCTATCCTTGTCTATATATATGAGGCCGGTTTTTCTTCTTCTTTATTCCACATTGTCGAGCAGCCTTCATCATTAAAAGGGGGGGGAATATTTTTGAGAAAATTTAGGTCCTATCTTGTAGGAGTTTTCTTGCACAAAAAAACTTGCATTGCCTATAACTAGGGGTACTGTTTTTCGAAAATTCTCACATCACTCTACTCCATTTTTCTTCTTCTTTCTTGCTGCTGAGATCAAAAGAGAAAAGAACAAGAGAAGCACTCTTCTCTTTAATTCTGAAATTTTGAGAGTTGTGTTCTTAGAAGCACAAGAGAGTTTTTGTTTTTGGGGAGAGCTTTATTCGAACCTTCCTTTGGTTCTTGGGGGGGTTTCAGCCGAACCAAACTTTGGTTCTAGGGTTCAAGGAGTTTTTGTGTAGTAAACAAGGCACATTACTTCTTTTGTTGGTGGTTTCTCAGAATTGTTGAGCAAAGATGTCATCCGGAGTTGCTGGTTGTACTCAAATCTGCTTCAAAGAGTGTAGAGGGTCGCATGGAGGCTCAAGTACAGCTCATGAAGAGTCAAATTGACTTCCTACATGATGAGGAAGCAAACCGAGACTTGTCTCAATTGCTTTCAAATCAGCAAGATAAAACTATGGTAAGTTTTGAGAAAATTGCTGAAA